TTCTTTTTTCCATCAGTATATATAGTGGGTATGATTATCATTTGAAGCAATGAACATTGTGCCTGCAAGAAAAAACACACTTTCTCCTGACCATCAGGTGCTTTTCCTGTCTGCAGCTAATGTAAGGAGGACAATAGCCAAAGTTAATCCATGTTAAGCTGCTGGAACTGATAATATACCTGGTTGCATGCTCAAGGAATATGCAGTACAGCTAGCCGACATCCTCACAGATATTTTTAATATCTCCTTGAGCCAGGCAGTCATCCCCGTATGCTTCAAGTCCACCACTATTATACCAGTGCCGAAGAAGTCAGCCATGTCCTTCCTCAATGACTATCATCACGTGGAACTCCAATTATCATGAAGTGCTTCGAGAGACTAGTCATGAGCCACATCAATTCCAGACTCTCTACCCCTTTGGACCCCCTTCAGTTTGCATACCGCCCCAACCAGTGGCTGTATCTCTTGCCCTTCACCTGGCCCTGTCCCACCTGGATAAGAAAGACTCTTATGTAAGAATGCTGTTTATTGGCTTCAGTTCAGTATTTAATACAATCATTCCCCAGAAGCTGACAGAAAAATTGAGCTTGCTGAAGCTTAACACCTCCCTTTGTAACTGGATTCTGGACTTTCTGACCGAGAGACCTCAGACAGTCCAGATCGGTAATAACATCTCCAGCACCATCACAATGAGCACCGGAACCCCCATGCGTATACGTGATCTGACAACTGGAATCAATTTCCTGTCGTTAAACTCTGTTTATTTTTAATGTGCTCAGTGCTCAGTCCACTGCTGTTCACATTGATGACTCATGACTGTACTGCCTGTTCAAACTGCATCATCAAGTTTGCTGATGACATGACAGTGGTGGGCCTCATTAGCAACAATGATGAGTCACCATACGGAGAGGAGGTGGAGCAACTAGTGAGCTGGTGCACAAACAACAACCTATGTCTCAACTTCAAGAGGACCCACGCTGATCACTCCCACTGTACATCAATGGCTCTCCCGTGGAGACAGTTAGAGGCACCAAGTTTCTTGGTGTACACATTACTGATGACCTCACTTGGTCCCTCAATACCACCTCCTTTGCCATGAAAGCACAGCAGCGTCTCTATTTCCTGCGGCAACTGAGGAGAGCAAACCTTCCTCTGCCCATTCTTACCACTTTCTACAGAAAGTGTAGAGTGTCCATTGAGAGCACGTTAACCAGCTGTAAGGCTGTTTGGTTTGGGAATTGCAACACTTCAGACCACAAGACCCTGCAACGAATTGTTGAAACAGCTGAAAAGATCATTGGAGCCTCCCTCCCTCCATTCTATTTCTGTCATGATAAACGCTGCATACACAGGGCCTCCAGAATAGCAGATGACCCCTCCCATAAACTCTTTGCCCTCCTACCATCTGGGAAAAGATATCGCAGTGTATGGGCTAGCTCCACCAGACTGTAACAGCTTCTTCCTGTGGGCTGTCAGACTCAACACCCTGGAATCTACTTGCACCCACTCCAAATCCAGAAACAGGGTTTAAATCCCCAGTGTGTTGTGTATATTGTATTATTTACCTTGTAATTTGCACTATCTGCACTATGTGTATCCTGTCTACAATGAAAGTCTACGACGAAAGGCTGCAAGTTCCCAGACAAGTCTGGGAAAGGACGCAGCCTAAAGAACTGGACAATCAACTGAAGGACCTCAACTGGATGGCTGTACACAAGAGACTGGCCACCAGAGAGGTCCTCTACAGACACTCGCTTACCAGGAACCCGCATTGCCCCCGGGACACATGTTTCGTCAAGGAGACTCAGGAGCACATGTTCTGGAGCTGCCCCTTCGCCAAGGCGGTGTGGGGCAGAATGGACAACA